AAAAACCAATGCGTAGAGGGCTTCATTGGTAACGCATAAGAAAAAACGAAACTCAATTCCGAGTTCGGACGAGCCCAAACGAGCCCGAGACGTGAAGAAGTGCGAGCTGCCCAGGCGCCTTGCGCGCTCCGCGCCTGCCCCGCGCCGCGGCAGCACCGCGACCCGAACTGCAACCCCTGCTCCTGCTCTCGCGCCCGTGAAGACCTGCCGCGCCGTGTCGCGCCTTCCTCACGCCATGGCCGACTTTTCTTATAAATATGTGTACGGGAACTCGTTTTCTTCATTCTTCCCCTCGTGGGGACGGACCCTAGGCTCAGAAAAAGAACGCAACTCTCTTCTCCTCCCTACCTTCTTCTTCTTCATTTTTCCTCCTCTCTTCATCTTTCTTTTCTTCTTCTTCTTCTTCTTCTTCTCCACATCTAAGAATTAAGCTTGTAATTTGGATTCAACTCTCGGATTGGATTTATTATAAGTATTTTTCATCTCGTTTAATTCATGTGAATGGTTATTTGGGGTGGAATGCTTTATTGTGTTGAATTCCTGTTACTTAGCTAAATCTTAATACTAGGGATAAGGGATGATTGTTCATGTTTCACGTGTATTTGTCGGGCTTAAACTGTTCATGCTTATGTGAGTTAATCTGATTAGGAATTAATGTAATCTTGCTTGATTGATTGATATAATCGAAGAGTGACACTTCGATCTTGCGATTGGAAATGATTGAATGTTAATTTTTCGAGTTAGAGTTTGTTAATTCTATATGATTAGTTGATCAAACACCTTCTAATTTAACTAGCGACTTTTCGAACCGAAAGAGGAGAAGTCGTAGACCTAGGCTCGCATGAGGTAGATGATTTCGTAATTGAATAGTCTATTGGTTTTGGATTGAAATACGTGCTTGTCGATGACCTGTCCCTTGTTACGAAAAGTTATTGGGATTGGGATAATTGGCCTGCGTCATATGCTCGAGCTAGCTTGTCTATGTTCAATCCCTTGTTACAAAAAGTTATTGGGAGCGAACCGCTAGATGTTTAAGCGAGAGTGTCAATCTCAAACCGAACAATTGATTGCCCGGTTTTGCTAAGAACTTGAATAAATTATCCCCGACTCCCTATCTGCTTCTTCATCTTTATTTGTTTATATTTTTAGGTAGATTATTATTTTATTTTATTTCTTTATTAATAATTAATCCAAGCTGCTATCTGATTAGAATGTTTAGGATTTATTTTCTTTTTGTGTGTTAGCGATACCAAAGTTAAATTCCAAACAGCCTTCCTCAAGAGATCGACCCGAGGTCGGGATTCATCCGGTAAAAATATAATTTACTACAACAATTATGATATGATAGGGATGCGATTTGGTATCTAAATTAAAAATCATGTGTAATTAGGAAACAAGATATGTTTGAATCTTCTCTATGACAAGGTAACTGGGGGAAAGGGCAAGAGTTACTACTCCAAGGTATATATATATATATATAGGGGGTGGATCCAATGAGACCACTCCTTAAAATGAGTACGTGAGACTCAATCTTAGCCACTCATTTTGTCTAGATCAAAATCAATTAAAATATACATTTATTAAATAATAAAATAGTTGACCGTTGACTCCGGCGTTGACCGTTGACTCCGGCGTTGACCGTTGACTTCCGGCGTTGACTTCCGGCGAGAATCGTTGACTTCCGGCGTTGACCGTTGACTTCCGGCGTTGACCCTTTGTATTGAAATAAATAACCTAGCAACAAAAAACACTCAACCTTGAGTGGTGTAGTGGTTGCATTGCTTGTCTTGCCTCCATGAGGTACCAGGTTCAAATCCTATGGGTTACAATTTTTTTATAAAAAAAAAATACAACTAACTTAGCAACATCAGACAACTAACCTAGCAACAAAACACAACTAACTTAGCAGCATCAGACAACTAACCTAGCAACAAAACACAACTAACCTAGCAGCAAGAAAGAACAACTAAACTAGCAACAAAGACAACTAACCAAGCAACAAAACACAACTAACCTAGCAACAAGAAAGAAAAATTAACCTAGCAACAAAACACAACTAACCTAGCAACAAAAAAGAAATAACCTAGCAACAAAAGACAACTAAACTAGCAACAAAGACAACTAACCAAGCAACAAAACACAACTAACCTAGCAACAAGAAAGAAAAATTAACCTAGCAACAAAACACAACTAACCTAGCAACAAAAAAGAAATAACCTAGCAACAAAAGACAACTAACCTAGCAGCAAAAAAGAACAACTAAACTAGCAACAAAGACAACTAACCTAGCAACAAAACACAACTAACCTAGCAGCAAGAAAGAAATAACCTAGCAACAAAAGACAACTAACCTAGCAGCGAAAAGAAATAACATAACCTAACAATAAAAGACAACTAACCTAGCAGCATGAAAGAACTAACCTAGCAGCAAGAAAGCAATAATCTAGCAACAAAAGACAACTAACCTAGCAACAAGAAAGAAATAATCTAGCAACAAAAGACAACTAACCTAGCAGCATCAGACAACTAACCTAGCAGCAAGAAAGAACTAACCTAGCAACAAAAGACAACTAACCTAGCAGCAAGAAAAAAAATAACCTAGCAACAAAACTCAACTAACATAGCAGCTACAAATAACTAACCTAGCAACAGCAAACAACTAACCTAGCAACAAGACACAACTAACCTAACAAGAAAGAAATAACATAACAAAAGACAAATGGTCAACGGTCAACGTCGGAAGTCAACGCCGGAGTCAACGGTCAACGCCGGAAGTCAACGATTTTCGCCGGAAGTCAACGCCGGAAGTCAACGGTCAACGCCGGAGTCAACAATCAATGGTCATAATAATATTTAAATAATTAGAAATAAAGAATTAAATAATAAAAATAAAAAATTATTATTTAAATCAAGATCTAAATCTTGTGGCTAGGAATGAGTCTCACATTCTCACTTTAAATAATGGGATGCATTGGAACCAATCCCTATATATATATATATATAGGGGGTGGATCCAATGAGACCACTCCTTAAAATGAGTACGTGAGACTCAATCTTAGCCACTCATTTTGTCTAGATCAAAATCAATTAAAATATACATTAATTAAATAATAAAATAGTTGACCGTTGACTCCGGCGTTGACCGTTGACTCCCGGCGTTGACTTCCGGCGAGAATCGTTGACTTTCGGCGTTGACCGTTGACTTCCGGCGTTGACCCGTTGTATTGAAATAAATAACCTAGCAACAAAAGACACTCAACCTTGAGTGGTGTAGTGGTTGCATTGCTTGTCTTGCCTCCATGAGGTACCAGGTTCAAATCCTATGGGTTACAATTTTTTTATAAAAAAAAAATACAACTAACTTAGCAACATCAGACAACTAACCTAGCAACAAAACACAACTAACTTAGCAGCATCAGACAACTAACCTAGCAACAAAACACAACTAACCTAGCAGCAAGAAAGAACAACTAAACTAGCAACAAAGACAACTAACCTAGCAACAAAACACAACTAACCTAGCAGCAAGAAAGAAATAACCTAGCAACAAAAGACAACTAACCTAGCAGCGAAAAGAAATAACATAACCTAACAATAAAAGACAACTAACCTAGCAGCATGAAAGAACTAACCTAGCAGCAAGAAAGAAATAATCTAGCAACAAAAGACAACTAACCTAGCAGCAAGAAAGAAATAACCTAGCAACAAAAGACAACTAACCTAGCAGCAAGAAAGAAATAATCTAGCAACAAAAGACAACTAACCTAGCAGCATCAGACAACTAACCTAGCAACAAGAAAGAACTAACCTAGCAACAAAAGACAACTAACCTAGTAACAAAAGACAACTAACCTAGCAACTACAGATAACTAACCTAGCAACTTAAGACAACTAACCTAGCAGCATCAAACAACTAGCCTAGCAGTAAGAAAGAAATAACCTAGCAACTTAAGACAACTAACCTAGCAGCATCAAACAACTAGCCTAGCAGTAAGAAAGAAATAACCTAGCAACAAAAGATAACTAACCTAGCAGCAAGAAAGAAATAACCTAGCAACAAAAGACAACTAACCTAGCAGCAAGAAAAAAATAACCTAGCAACAAAACTCAACTAACATAGCAGCTACAAATAACTAACCTAGCAACAGCAAACAACTAACCTAGCAACAAGACACAACTAACCTAACAAGAAAGAAATAACATAACAAAAAACAAATGGTCAACGGTCAACGTCGGAAGTCAACGCCGGAGTCAACGGTCAACGTCGGAAGTCAACGATTTTCGCCGGAAGTCAACGCCGGAAGTCAACGGTCAACGCCGGAGTCAACGGTCAATGGTCATAATAATATCTAAATAAATAAAAATAAAGAATTAAATAATAAAAATAAAAAATTATTATTTAAATCAAGATCTAAATCTTGTGGCTAGGAATGAGTCTCACGTCCTCACTTTAAATAATGGGATGCATTGGAACCAATCCCTATATATATATATAGATTAATGGGACTTGTATTCCATTCTGTCAAGTAATGGTAGGTAAATTATTTATAAAAACTAGCATATGTAATATAACAATTAACATTTAAAATAAAAAAATTCTACAATGGTATGTATTACGATGTATAAACTTGATTATTACAGAAATATTATTAATTTTAGAAGTGACAATGGTGGCGAACTGATGAACCGATTGAGCAACATGTTCGGTTCTGAAAGCCCCCCCTTAAAATTTTGATACAACTAACCGTTTCCGGTTTTTCAAAAATCATATAAGAACCGGACCGGTCATACCCTACTCCTCGATCCGTGAGGGTGAAAGGGTTTATGATTCAATTTAAAATTCATGAGAACTGCAGAAAATAATTAATCCTTTCGTTTTCCACCGATTACTGCCATTAAAATCTGTTGAGCAGCCAGGTCTCTCTCGCTGTTTCTCCTGTGCAGTCGTCTGAGTGGTTGCGCGCGTGTTTCGGGACTTAATTGCTTAATAACTCGGGACTTGGAGTTCGAGCTTTTCCTTTTGATTCTGAGTGATCGGTAGTAGCTTCAAAGGATTATCAGGTAATTTTGTCGAACATTTTCACGCAAAAAAAAAAAAAAAAGGACAGAAAACTCAATTCTGGAAATTTTGTGTTTGTTGATGTAAATGTAATAACTTTAATGGATTGGTACAACGGGCATCGAAAATCAATCTCTCCTTTTAGGAACAAAATTGCTAGTTTGATGGTCGCCGATCATGAAACTGATACATGATGATTTTATTGTGAATTTGTTTGGTTGGCCTTTAGCTCAAGGAATCTCGTGAAAAATTGAGCAAACCGTAATTCAGCTATTTCAATTGATTTCTGTTGTGTGCCAAATACTAAGATTTAGTATTTACTGTTCTGTGTTATACCCCCAGGAAACCATGAATCATGAGGTGCAGACAGTAAAGGATGCAGTCCTCAAGCTTCAGTGTTCTCTGCTGGAGGGAATCAAGCACGAGAGCCAGCTCACCACCTCTGGCGCACTCCTTTCTCAAAGTGATTACCAAGATGTGGTGACCGAACGCACTATAGCCGGCATTTGTGGGCACCCTCTCTGCACCAATCCTTTGCCCACTGAACGGCCCCGGAAAGGACGCTACAGGGTCTCGCTCAAGGAGCACAAGGTCTATGACCTCCAGGAGACATACAAGTACTGCTCGACTGGCTGCTTGATAAATAGTCGAACCTTTGCTGCAACTTTGAAGGAGGAGAGGCCTTCGGATCTGAACCTAGCCAAACTGAGAGGAATTCTTAATCTATTTTATGGGCCAATTTCGGGTCCTAATGATGTGGGGATGAGTGGGAATGGGGATATGGGGCTGTCTGGTTTGAGGATTGAGGAGAAAATGGGTAAAACCGCTGGCGAAGTGTCTGTGGAGGAGTGGATTGGTCCGTCGAACGCGATCGACGGCTATGTGCCGCGGAGAGAAAAGAATTTGGACGCTGGGCAGTCGAATAATGATAGAAAAAGTGGGAAAAAGGAACACATTGGTAAGTTTAGTTCTTGGGTTGTTCTTTTTGTATTGTGTTGAGGTAGTTTTCTTGTATCATATATTTTATTTATTATTTTAATATATGTATAAAACCTGTCCATTGCAAATGGGGCTGGAAGAGTCATTGTTGACAATTCTCCTGGCATAGTGCTAATAATGGACTAAATCAAAATGGCTCAATTAAATTCTAGTGCTTCTTCTATTAGTGAAGTTTCTAGAAAAAAAATATATATCAAACGGCGCAATGCACCTTGGGTCGCTACGGAAACAGCCTCCTTGTATAATTACAAGGGTAAGGTCTGCGTACAACTGACCCCCCAGACCCAACTTGTTGGCAACTTGTTTGGGAATATACTGGGTATGTTGTTGTTGTTGTTTTAAGTAATAAAAAATGTGGTAGGTTGATGACTCATGCTGCAATAAAATGTATCAGGACTTTCTTATGGGGACATGGACTTCACAAGTGTGATTATTACTCAAGACGAGTACAGCGTCTCAAAGATTGTGCCTCCTGTGAAGGATAAAGATCGAAAAGGAAAAGCAAGAATTAATGAAGCAGATCTCCAGGGTAACCAGACTCAGAAGCCAAATGCTCCATCAGTAAGCACTAAAGAAATGAGATCCAAAAAGTTGAATAAATTGAAGGATGTGACTGCATCGGATGATAAGGTCAGTGTATTAGAAGATAATAATGCTGGGCCTAGCCAAAATGTCACTAAAAAGGGTGGAGAGGAACTCCAGCTGGGATCCAAGAAGTATAGTAAGTCCAAGGATGTGACTATCATGGATGATAAGGTCAGTTTAAATGAAAATATTATGGCTGTTCCCAGCCAAAATGGCGTTGAGAAGGAGGGAAAGGGACCACAGTTGGGAAAAGAGTTGACGGCTGGTGTTCTTAAGTCCTCTTTGAAGACTTCGGATTCAAATAGAACAAACAGATCCGTTTCCTGGGCTGATGAGAAAAATGATGCTGATGGGAGAAATCTTTGTGAGGTCAAAGAATTAAAAGGTGAGGAAGTCGGCCAAGAGTCGTACAGATATGTATCTGCTGAAGCCTGTGCAATGGCTTTAAGCCAAGCTGCAGAGGCTGTAGCGTCAGGAAAATGTGAAGCATCTGACGCTGGTAAGAAGTTCTCTTCAGTCTTCACAATGTGAAACTTATTTACCAAGTTTTAGTTTGATATGCTGTTAATACATTAAATGCTTTTTGTCTGGCTTTGTTCTCATTTCAAATTTAACATTCAGTATCTGAAGCGGGTGTTATAATATTGCCACCGCCTCATGGAGAGGGTCAAGTTAAATCTGAAGAGAACGGTGATGTGGTGGATACGGAACCCCTTCAACTAAAGTGGCCTCCGAAACCAGGATTTTCAGAAGCTGATCTGCTCGACTCTGAGGATTCTTGGTATGATAGTCCACCGGAAGGGTTTAACTTATCAGTAAGTTGGCTGTTTGAGTTTTTTTTATCCAAAAATGCCACTTCATCTACTACAATTTTAATTTTGTCTTCATTATCTCATGCTGGTAATTTAAATTGGGCTTTATTTCAGCTCTCACCTTTTTCCACAATGTTTATGGCACTCTTTTCCTGGATGTCATCGTCCTCTTTAGCTTATATATATGGAAAAGATGAAAGTTTTCATGAGGAATACTTGTCGGTCAATGGGAGGGAGTATCCACGTAAGGTTGTTATGCTGGATGGCCGCTCGGCTGAAATTAAGCAAACTCTAGCTGGCTGCCTCTCTCGAGCCTTGCCAGGACTTGTTGCTGAACTGAGGCTTCCCATACCTATATCAACTCTTGAGCAAGGAATGGTATGTTGCGGAGATTTCAGCCTGAAACTTATTGCTTGTTTAATTTAGTTGTTACTGGCTTTAAATTATTATATCTTATTTTGAGATTTAGTGATGGCTTGCAATATAGTTTTGAGTTTTTTTACACATCTTAGATGCTCCATGAACATTCTCTAATACCAAACACTTTATCTTCAAAATACAAAGCAAAACATATTTAACCATAATTCTCACTGGTTTATCTGCTTTAGAAAACAAAAGAAAATCAGAGGACGAGGAAATTTGGCTAGATGTCAGGAAGGGCAAAAAATTGTAGAAAAATGATTAGACTACATGAAAATGCAGATTTACAGCAATTTGATATGCCTTCCATTCGGCGTTATTTAAGCAACTATAGAATTTTTCTTTTGTTCCTTTTATGAAATATTAAACTTAGTTTAGTTAATTAGTCGAACCACTTCAGCTTTTGTTTTATTTAAGCATGTGAGACTTTTATCTTGTTCCAGTCCCTGTTCAAATGTTTCTTGTCCTTAGAATATTCATATATACCGTATTTTCAGATACTCTACATGAACAAGGAGTATACTGATGGAGATAAGAGTCTATTAAAGAAATAATTTTATAAAAGGATAGTAAAATCTGCAATAGCAGCCGTAGAAATAACCCCCCTTCTCAGTTCCTATGTATTGCCCCAAAGAAGAGATAATACCTTTTCTACTCGTCCTATTGATCTGATGCGTAATTTATGTAGCTATTACAATCATAATTAAATAAGATGACAATATATAAATCCCTATTGAATTGGAGATTAGTATCTCATACTTATTTCTTTACTTTCGTAGTGGTAGCAAGATCTTCCTGATCATTTTGTTCCTCCTTAGCATTAGCAGTAATTCTGTCTTTCCTTTTGTAGGAACTTTCTCTATCATAAGACCTTTTTTTTTTTTTTTCCTATATTCTCCTTTTACCAATCTTTTGAGGTTGTATCTTCTTTGGCTAAAAATAGTTGTATTTGTCCTGTGTTTGGTTTCTTGCAGGGACACTTGCTGGACACAATGTCATTTATGGACCCACTTCCAGCATTCAGGACAAAACAGTGGCAAGTTATTGTCCTTCTGTTACTTGATGCTCTTTCAGTCACTAGAATCCCTGCACTCACACAACATATGGTCGGTAGGAGGATTTTGCTTCCCAAGGTATGCACAGAATTCTACTTATTCTCATTCTTCTTGTTTGAGATAGAAAAGTTCTGATTTTGTTTAGTGATAAATACATAGGTCCTTGAGGGTGCACAGATAACCATGGAAGAATTTGAAATAATGAAGGATGTGATGATTCCCCTTGGCCGTGTGCCTCAATTCGCAACTCAGAGTGGAGGCTGAGCAGCCAAAAACACGTACTCTTTGCAATTAGGCTACCGTTTTCTGCTTCTCGAAGTAGACATTTGTGCTGCTGGGTATCACACAGGGAAGTCCCTAAAATTTGCCTCTTATTTCTTCTATGTTGAAGATGAAAGTGTTTGCAAATCGGCTGTTGGTTGGATTTTGACGTATTGTATATTTAAGTGTACCATACATGGATAACAATGGCACCATTGCTAGTTGTGCAATTTATATAACAACACACTTGTACTACACGGGTGCGTGAAATAATTAAGTAAAAGAGTTTATTGTAAGTGTATACAAAATAAATAAATAGACGTTTCATTAAACAAAAACTATTGTATATTAATATTTTGTTTCAAATTCTAAAAAATTTATTTGTACACAATATTATTAGTTAGTTAAAAAAAATTTCATCCTTGTCGCAACACAAATTTGTAATGAATTGTGACATCAGTAAATCAAGATGTTAATATTAATAAAATAAGAGATGTGTTTAGTTACGACTTTATTAATTATATTATCAATATAATTATAATATATAATTTATTTCACCAATACGCATACAAAGACATGGCCTCAAAAAGAGGTAAAATTTATTAACTTGAAAAAAAAATGATGAATGAGCTGAGCTAAAGTTTATCAACTTAAAAAAATAAGATAAGGGATGATAATTAAGATAAAGACTAAAATTGATGAAAATTAGATAAGGGACGTGTTTAGTTAAGATTTCATTAATTATATTATTAAAGATAATTATAATATATAATTTTAGTTCATTATTATTCATTATGCAAACAAAGACACATACTAAAAAAGAATGGGCTAAACTTTATCAACTTGGAAAATAAAAAAATATGATGAATGGGATAAATCAGTAGTAAAATGAAATAAGGAAGAAAAATATGTGTGATCTTTAAATTCAAAACAAATTTGGGAATGAAAGAGAGATTGATGGTAGACAATAATGTATGGTGGAAAAATTATTTATGATACTTTCCGAGTTAATTTTGTTTCCAAATTTATTATCCGAACCTAAATACAAAGTATGATATTGTGACTTATAGGATTACAAAGCGTGCGGGCCTGCTATTAAAGCTCATCACATCTTGAATTAAGGGATTTAGGTCCAACAAAGTTGGGAAGTGTGCTGATTTGTATGTTAAAGAAAAGAAAGGTTGTGGTCTGATTCATGGAACGTTTACTATGTGTAACTTTTTTTTTTTCTGGGCATAATTAAATTTGTAAATTGTAACTTGTAAGTTAATTTAGTAAAAGAGAAAATACTAAAATTTGTCAGTTGCTAAATAGATAAAAAATAAAAAATAAAAGAAAAATAAAGAAAGTATCCTTTACACTAGATAATTCTTAAAATGTGGAGCTTATCAAATACCATAGTCTAGTCTAAATTCATTTGAAAAATATGGTAAAAATAAAATCTACAATTTGTTAAAAATATATGTGATTTTAGAACATTAAATATCCTAATCTCACCATCATTGGATGGAGTAAGAATAATATAACCTCATATTTATTATTGTTGTTTATTGTAGATGGACTAGCAAAATTTTCTTTTATCATTTTCTTATATTCATAACTATTAAAATTTTAATATTATCATAGTTTGTCTAAATTTTATTTTTTTTTAAAAAAAAATATATATAAAAATTTGAGGTGTGGGTTTTACTGAGCGCAATATAACGTGGCAAGCATGCACTTATTCCACGTTATCAGCTTGTCTTGTAATTTATAATTTTTTTTAACGTGCCACCATGAAAGACTTATCATTCTCGTATTTTAATAGTAAATTAATTAAAATAACTAATAAATTAAATTAATTAGGATATGAAATACAAATTTTATATAACATGGGTCCACAGTATCATCACTAACTCTATCTCGGTGTCACTACTACTTTAGTAGTTTAGTGTCTCGATCGGTGTCACTACTCTACGTGAACATTAGGATATGAAATACAAATTTTATATAACATGGGTCCACGGTATCATCACTAGCTCTATCTCAGTGTCACTACTACTTTAGTAGTTTAGTGTCTCGGTGTCACTACTCTACGTGTTCACGTATCATTACTCTACCTCGGGTGGTAGCGTTCTGTAATAACTGGGGTAACAAAATAATTATCGGGTATGTAAAAAACTTTAAAACTATAAATATAATTGAAGTGACAAAATAATTATCGCTTATGATTTACAATCGAAGTGACGAAATAATTATGGCTTATAATTTTAATTATGTATGTAGATAACTTTAAAATGGAGAAGAACATATACATCTATATATATCCCTTATTCTTCTATATGTATTTTAATAATATATTTATATTTTTTTTTCTTAAATTATACTTCTTCAAAATATAAATCACAATAATAAAAATAGGATGATTTTGGAAAGAGAATAAAAAGGATAGACTTCACGAAAAAAGTGTGTGGCCCATTGCGAGCTGCAGACCTTCCAGCATAAATAGAGGCATTGGGATTACAAAGAAAAATACGCATCAAAATAAAACCTTCTCTGAATTATCAATGGCGTCACTCTCCTTCTGCCTTGCTGATAAGGTTCCGAGTAGGTGGCTCCGATTCAGAACGGTCTTTGGTCCAAGGGTGCGTCCTCCTTTCCCTAGTTTCCGGTATGAGGTGAAGCTCGTGAGTACCTGCAAGGTACGCCGGAGGTTTTCCGGCGTAAAAACCCTCCGAAGCTTAAGTTAGTATTTTGGGAGACAAAAATGGAGAGGAAGATGAACAGTAATAATATTGTAGTAGTTGAATAGTGAATGTTACCCTCATGTTTCTTACACAACTTATGTATATATAGACGATTATCCTGATACTGATTATCTTAAGATATTACATTAATTCGTGGTAATTCGCGACGTCGGTGGTCAAGCCTTGGAGTTCGCTGGGGATCGAGCCTGGGTGCTCGATCACGTGAGGCTAAAGTATCGAGCCTCAAGAGCTCGATCATTATGTTGGATCGATCCTAGAGGCTACGGCTCCTATCTCGAACGATTCTACCTGTGTGTATTTATATCCCTATCA